TACTACCTGTCGTCTGGTCTGCTTCTTACCCTTTTAATGCTACCTGTCTTCTGGTCTGCGTCTTACCCTTTTAATGCTACCTGTCTTCTGGTCTGCTTATCCTTATAATGCTACCTGTCTTCTGGCCTGCTTCTTACCCTTTTAATGCTACCTGTCTTCTGGTCTGCTTCTTACCCTATTAATGCTACCTGTCTTCTGGTCTGCGTCTTACCCTTTTAATGCTACCTGTCTTCTAGTCTGCGTCTTACCCTTAAAATGCTACCTGTCTTCTGACTTCTGGTCTGACGTTGGCCACGTCGTGGCAAAATGGTCGAATAGCATGATTCTAGATACCCGGTATATGAACTAATCACACTATATAAGTAGGTTTGCATATAAACCTAATTGAAACTAGGTGACATGAACCGGGTCTGTAAGAGAGTTATTTGTTGCTTGGGGTGGGGGGGTAAAATTCCCCATGCCTGGTAGACCTTCACACGTAGCTGACAGAAAGGTGACCAATTGACCATCACGTTGTGGACGCAGTGTTGAGGTCCTCGGGTGGTTGCAAAGGCTCACTAGACGGTCACAGTTACACAATGCTTCTCCCCTTTGTCGGCGTTAGTTGATACGGTCTGGTTGACTGGACCTCTTGACCTTGACAATGGATTGCACACCCCACCCCACCCCTCTCTTTTTTCTTTTTTTAAAAACTGGACGGCGGGTTTCTTTTGAAGTATTTTGTAATCGTGGAGTAAGAGAGACCACACCGGCTCCATATGACGTCATAAACAACTTTGATGTTTGTCAGGGAACGATGCCCCTCCCGAATATTATCTCCCGGCACTAAATTACACGAAGAAGATCGGTAATAACATGCGACCATGGGCGTAGGGACGCCTTGAAATGTGTGAATACCTTGAACCGGTGTCTGCTGATAGCTTGGATCTTCAAAAGCTTGAACACTTCAAACATCCAGCGTCTGTGAATGAATACCAGTACTTACCCAGAGTATGTGAAGACATGGATTCTTCAAATAACGTGATGCCTCGGTTCCTGTCGGTAATCCGTACGAATACAATCGTCGAAAACCCAAACGACTAAAACCGAGACAATTCTTTCCTTAAAGAAACCATGTAATAATCCAAGTCATCTGTTCCAGACACTCCAACATACAAACATAAATATATATATTTTTTTTATAGAGAATAAATATTGTGTTTTAATACTAAAAACAAGAAATTAAAATCAAGTGATTGTGAAAGACTGCCGATAATGTAAAGAAATGTGTTAACATGGCCTTTATCTAGCTGAAGACTCTTCTACTTCTTGTAGTATGGAAGACGGTGAGGAGGGGGGAAGAGAGGGGTGCAGGTAATATTGTTAGGAAGGGAATCCCCCCCCCCTCCTCCATAAGGACCTTAGGCGTCAAGGCCGGTAGGCGGAAAAAAACATCACAGAAAAAAAAAGAAAAAAAAAACGGCCATCAGATATCATAAATAAATCCTGACAAGATTGAGGAACAATTGTATTTGTCTACCTTTCTGTCCGACCACACTCTCTTGTTGACAATAACGAGTTTATTGTGATTACAGGTAAGTGATTGTACAACAGACCGGGGGGGGGGGCACCTTGGTAAAGTCTGACAAGATTGAGAAACAACATTTGACCCCTCCCCCTTTATTACCATTGACCACATTGAGGCCATTTATGCTATGTCTGGATAGAAATATCAGTAAACTAGTACCATAATGTAATGTCCTTTGTGCCTTTTTTCCTGTTCATTTTCTCCTGTGCCTTTTATCCTGTGCCTTTTTTCCTGTGCCTTTCTCCTGTGCCTTTTTTCCTGTGCCTTTTTTCCTGTGCCTTTTTCCTGTTGCCTTTTTTCCTGTTGCCTTTTTTCCTGTTGCCTTTTTTCATGTGCCTTTTTTCCTGTGCCTTTTTCCTGTGCCTTTTTCCTGTTGCCTTTTTTCCTGTTGCCTTTTTTCCTGTTGCCTTTTTTCATGTGACTTTTTTCCTGTGCCTTTTTTCCTGTGCCTTTTTCCTGTTGCCTTTTTCCTGTTGCCTTTTTTCCTGTTGCCTTTTTTCCTGTTGCCTTTTTCCTGTTGCCTTTTTTCCTGTGCCTTTTTTCCTGTTGCCTTTTTTCATGTTGCCTTTTTTCATGTGACTTTTTTCCTGTGCCTTTTTTCCTGTTGCCTTTTTTCCTGTTCATTTTCTCCTGTGCCTTTTTTCCTGTTCCTTTTCTCCTGTGCCTTTTTTCCTGTGCCTTTTTCCTGTTGCCTTTTTCCTGTTGCCTTTTTTCCTGTTGCCTTTTTTCCTGTTGCCTTTTTTCATGTGACTTTTTTCCTGTGCCTTTTTTCCTGTTGCCTTTTTTCCTGTTCATTTTCTCCTGTGCCTTTTTTCCTGTTCCTTTTCTCCTGTGCCTTTTTTCCTGTTCCTTTTCTCCTGTGCCTTTTTTCCTGTTGCCTTTTTCCTGTTGCCTTTTTTCCTGTTGCCTTTTTCCTGTTGCCTTTTTTCCTGTGTTTTCAAAACGTGATCGGCTTGTTAAGTTGTTCATTACTGGGGGCGCCACTGCACATTGCAATTGAACTAAATCCCCGCAAATTCAATGGGGTAGGGGTGTAGGTTGGGAATGCCACACCCTGCCCTACCCAAATGACGTCACTGGTTTTTGCAAACCATCTGAAATCTGACAAATGTTTTCAAGGGTCCAGAAAATAGAAAAAAAAAAAGTAAAATAAGTACCGTATTTATCGGCGTCTAACACGCACTTTTTCTACCTGAAAATAGGCGGCAAATGATGTGTGCATGTTATACGCTGATATAATGTTTAATTTTGCTCCCCTGAAATTTCTTTCTTAAAATGATGTGCGTGTTATACGCCGGTGCGTGTTATACGCCGATGAATACGGTAATTATATATAGTTTTTATATTGTAAGTTTGTATATTGTACTTTTTGTTTTCAATCATTGTTTTAGCAATTTATTTCCCCTTTTTAATTAATTTTTTGCCTTAATTTTTGTAAGATTGACAGAATTCCAAAATAGATATAATATTTCGACTATTTCATAATATGGGATAAAGTTAATATGAATAAAAACATAAATAAAAACTGCGGCTATGGAAAAAAAATGTTGGCTTCAAAGTAAACAATCAAATACCGCTAGTGAATGTTCAAATGTGAATGTATTTTCATACTTGTTTCTTCACGTTAGCATGATTAGATGTACAACACACGAACCATTACAATTTCATCAAAATATTTATTAAAAAAAACAAGACCAAAAAAAAAACAAAAAAAAAAAACACTTAAATAAAGAAAGTAATTGTTTGACCAAGATGGGGTCGAGCCTTGGAGCCTTGCCCTTTCGCATGTGTCCAGGCTGCAGGGTCGTCCAGGCTGCAGGGTCGTCCAGGTTGCAGGGTCGTCCAGGCTGCAGGGTCGTCCAGGCTGCAGGGTCGTCCAGGGTGCAGGGTCGTCCAGGCTGCAGGGTCGTCCAGGCTGCAGGGTCGTCCAGGCTGCAGGGTCGTCCAGGCTGCAGGGTCGTCCAGGCTGCAGGGTCGTCCAGGTTGCAGGGTCGTCCAGGCTGCAGCGGCGTCAGTGCCGCTGTTGCGCTTTTATAATTCCTGACTTTTCTTCAAAACAAACAAGCTGTCTTTTTTATTCACCAATCTGTTGATAAGAGGCCAGGGACTTTCTCATCCGGCTCCAGAAATAAGCGTTTATTTTTGCTGTATTTATATATATATACATATATTTCATTAATTGTGTGTGTATGTGTGTGTGAAGTGTGAATAACGCTCACTTCCAGCACTGTGAGTTCTGTAGTGACTTCTGTGGTGAGTTCTATAATGCATTCTTCAGTTGAGTTCCTTAAATACTTGTGTCATAAACTCGACTGACTTGACTGACAGCCCTGCCACTTTCTCACTTCCACTTTCTCACTGCCACTTTCCCACTGTCACTACACGACACCAGTCACATTACGTATCATGCTGATGCCACGAGGTTCCCAGATTGTGTCAAGTCATGGCTCCTTGCCACATACAGTACAGGATTCCCCAAGGCTCACAATGTCACCTCTAGCAAGTGTTATGCGAAATAAGAGAAATTCCCATGATTATTTTTTTTTCACTTCACTGCGCCCCTGTGAATCCGTGACACCCCAGGGCGCCCCGTACAGTGTTTTGGAATATAGACTATGCACTAGGGCAGACATCTGGGAACCTTTTCATGGCAAAGAGCCATATATTAAATTTTGATCTAGCACCTGGTAGTATCCAAGGATCCAAGAGCCATTTTGATCTAGCAACTGGTAGTATCCAAGAGCTACATGACAAAGATAAAAAAAGTCACATGCGCCTCGCGAGACGCAGGTACTTGATCCCTGGACTTGTATAGGACCAAGTAAACCAACTGTCTGAAAGATTGATGAGCTCAAGACTTAAACTCTATTGGAGTCCAATGGCATGGCGACGAATCATTTGACGAACATTAGTCAATCAGCTGACAATTAACCTTTTTAGCTTCAGCCAGTCGCCAGCCACTCGTCTGTTTCGACATCCCTTATAAACAGCCACTCGTCTGTTTCGACATCCCTTATAAGGCTGATCCTATCCATGCCTTTCTCTTTCTCCCCTTCTCAACCCCCCCCCCCAACTCCACGAGGGCAACAGTTAGATCTGACCTCCAGGTGATCATGTATTGCTATCGATCAATATAAACAGCCACTCGTCTGTTTCGACATCCCTTATAAGGCTGATCCTATCCATGCCTTTCTCTTTCTCCCCTTCCCAACCCCCCCCCCAACTCCACGAGGGCAACAGTTAGATCTGACATCCAGGTGATCATGTATTGCTATCGATCAATAAAACTTACAAACCAATATCTGATTCAACCTGTCACGTTGATTGTGTTCTTGGAACTGTTACAGCCTGCCGACAGCGTGACCTTGTGAACTAACCTTACGCCGACCTTCAGATACTCATCCATCAGGCCCGGGATCCCGGACTGGCTCGAGAACACGAACGGGTACACGTCGTAGAGGACCCTGCAGTGGACCGATATCCTCCCGCCGAAGTAGAAGTTGGTGTTGGTCTTGTGGACGTACTCCGGCGTGACGCACTCGTGCATGTCATGCGACCGGTGCACCACGAGATCAAGGTTGCACGGGACGGGCACCACCAGGTGCTCAAACGGGCGCGGCTGCAAGGGGAAGATATCCTTTTTAGAGAAAACCAAATCGTGTTTCAGTCCCTTGGTCACGGCCCATATGTGGGTTGCGTCCTCCTCGTAAAAGAAGATATCGAGATTAGGAAATTTGAAAGGCTTGTCGGGAAAAGCCTTTGCTGACGTCATGTAGAATTTCCATTGGCTGTCTCCGGGGGCGTAGAGCTCAAATCCCCGGATGTTCCCGAGGACGTCACGAATCTCGCGCCACTGCCTCGCGCTCATGGCCACGTCGATGTCGTCGTCCCATGGGATGAGCCCGTGGTGACGCACGGCCCCCATGAGGGACGCCTCTGTCAGGAAGTAGTCGAGGCGAGCCTTGTCGCAGGCGCGGACGAAGGTTTCGAGAGTGAACAGGATGCTCGCCGCCTCCGAGGGCGTCATAATGGGCCGGAAGGCGGACAGTGTGCTGAGCCTCTTTCTGACGTCACTGTCCCAGCGAGGAAGGCGTTTGAGGTAGTCGACCTGGCGATGGTAGGTCGCATACGCCGCCTGTCGGACTTGAACCAATTCGTCCAACCTGCTCAGGTTAACCTGTTTGGGGCGTCATTTAAACTTGCGTTAATGGATGCATCGATACAACATGAAGAGGGACCTAAATTAATTGAAAACCATTAGCTAACAATAAATGACGTTATGAAAATTGCTTGGGTGGGGGGGGGGGTGGAGTTTTGTCGCTCTATCAACACAATCTTGATGATAGTAACGGGCCGACCCGGTGTATAAAGCCAGGATGGGTTGAAAGACAGTTTAAAGGTTTGTATGTCCGTGAGCCAGAACTTTTTAAAATCTTTTATACTAACTTCGCTTTTGTTCGTAGGTGGCTGGCTGGGTAGGTGGCTGGCAAAATCATCTTCGGACGGCTAATTGACCCACTCCCCGTCAACACTTCGAGCTGAAACTTGGCCGATGACAACGCATTCTATTCAATTGTCAGGCCCACCCCAACCCCCACAAATCAGTTGTTCCTGTCTTTTAAGGGGGGCATGAAGGAAACTTCCTAATAACTGGGTTAAATGAGATTTCTTTTAAAAAAATAAATAAATAAGTAACGCCAGTGTCTTTGGTGCGTAATATTTTCTTTTGTTTTTCTAAAAATTCTATGGTGAAATAAATCTGCGGTGAAAACGCTGGTGGATCATTAGAATACTAATAAAGTTCAGGTGTGTGGGAGAAAATGTACGGTTGCGAGCCTTGGTTTGGGGGGGGGGGGGGGGGCACTTATTTGGGTTCTTATCAAATGCGTTACTTTATGCATGTTTTGTCACATTTTCAGCCCCCCCCACCCTCCCCCCTTGCTTGATATTACATTTTATATAAAGGATTTTACCCCCCAAAAAAAATTTGCTTTTAGGGGTTGTTTAATTGAATTCAGGTTTTGGCATCTGTATCATGAAATATTTAATAAACTTAAGTTTTTTTTACTTATTATTCTTTGTTAAAAAACGAACATTTTAAAACTTTATTTACAAAAAAAAAGTTTTACAGTTTTCCTAAGTTTTCATATTGTTCACATTCATGTCATCTCTGGTATATATCTTACCTGTACCCGTAAGGTTGCTACTTAATTATCTGTAAATTGTTGACGTTTAATAAACCTAAAATTTCTGTTAATTTAATTCCGCATCTCTACATGGTGTATATTTTGATGACCTTACCTGTACTCTGTCGACAAATTTGTTTCTAACAGCCGCACTGTCATCGACACGGAAGTTCTGCTGTCCGTTGATGACCCGGTACAGGTGGAGATTGTCGGTATCCACCCAGGCGGTCGGCAGCACCAGGCTGAACATGACCAGCCTCAAGGGTTGGACCAACAGCAAAGTCGTCAGCGCGACAACCACGAGGCAGAGGCACCTCTTGGTCATCCACTTCCGTGTCATGGTGTGTTAGTGGAGGGGAGTGTGGCTGACGTACGTTTCACAGTAGGACCGAGGTCTCTGAGTGGGACATGTGCATCCCATGAGAATCGCATGTTTCACATTATAAGACCTGGCAGATTTGTCGCACTGTACGACATGTGAGTTATGTCACTCAGTAGGAGCTGTGAGTTATGTCAACCAGTAGGACCTGTGAGTTATGTGACATAGTAATCTATGAATCTATGAGGAAGACCTGTGAGTTATGTCATACAGAAGGACCTATGAGCTATGTCTCACAATAGAAACTATGAACTATGTCACGCAATAGGACCAATGAAATATGTCACACAATGGGACCTATGAACTATGTCACACACTGGGACCTATGAACTATGTCACACACTGAGACCTATGAACTATGTCACACAATGGGACCTATGAACTATGTAACACAAAAGGACCTATGAACTATGTCACACACTGGAACCAATGAACTATGTCACACAAAAGGACCTAAGAACCATGTCACACACTGGGACCTATGAACTATGTCACACACTGGGACCTATGAACTATGTCATACAAAAGGACCTATGAACTATGTCACACAAAAGGACCTATGAACTATGTCACACAAAAGGACCTATGAACTATGTCACACAAAAGGACCTATGAACTATGTCACACAAAAGGACCTATGAACTATGTCACACAAAAGGACCTACGAACTATGCCGCACACTAAGGCTTAAATAAACTCACATCGTTGTCACCAACTTCCCGGTTCAAAGAATCTCTTTAGCTCGAATAAATGTCAACATATAAATGCATGTAACATAAGTAAGGGATCCGTCAAAACAGTTTAAAGTCCGTTGTTCATGAACGCACGCCATAGAGCGAAATCATGGTCACGTGGTCTCTGACCGCTCAAACTGCACCGACAACGAATGATACAATGAGGAAATATCTTCGCTTGACCGACCTCATCCCCTCCTGAAACCTGCGCTTAATTACGGGGCAGCGGTACATAAACGTACACATTTGTACCTCGGGTCGGTGCGCTCACTTCCTACACAATCTATCGGTCCGTAGTCAATACAGAACATGTGACATTATATTACAGCTACCACACGTGTTGATTCTGGACGCACATTTTATTTAGAGTGAACAACAGACTTGGTAGAGTACAACCTTTCTATTGGCCAAAGCCATCCAACATTCGCAGTCTATCGTACACGCCAGGCAGCAGGTGTGTGTGTGTGTGTGTGGGGGGGGGGAAGAGTCATTAACGATATTCTGTGTGAGTTGCGGTACAAATTAGGGTGGGTAGTGGTGCACATTAGTGTGGGTAGTGGTGCAAATCAGGGTGGGTAGTGGTGCACATTAGTGTGGGTAGTGGTGCACATCAGGGTGGGTAGTGGTGCACATCAGGGTGGGTAGTGGTGCACATTAGGGTGGGTAGTGGTGCACGTTAAGGTTGGTAATGGTGCACATTAGGGTTGGTAGTGGTACCCATTAGGGTTTGTAGTGGTACACGTTAGTGTTGGTAGTGGTGCACGTTAGTGTTGGTAGTGGTACCCATTAGGGTTGGTAGTGGTACACGTTAGTGTTGGTAGTGATACCCATTAGGGTTGGTAGTGGTGCACGTTAGTGTTGGTAGTGGTACCCATTAGGGTTGGTAGTGGTGCACGTTAGTGTTGGTAGTGGTGCACGTTAGTGTTGGTAGTGTTGGTAGTGGTACGCATTAGGGTTGGTAGTGGTACACGTTAGTGTTGGTAGTGGTGCACGTTAGTGTTGGTAGTGGTACCCATTAGGGTTGGTAGTGGTGCACGTTAGTGTTGGTAGTGGTACCCATTAGGGTTGGTAGTGGTGCACATTAGTGTTGGTAGTGGTACCCATTAGGGTTGGTAGTGGTGCACGTTAGTGTTGGTAGTGGTGCACGTTAGTGTTGGTAGTGGTACACGTTAGTGTTGGTAGTGGTGCACGTTAGTGTTGGTAGTGGTACACGTTAGTGTTGGCAGTGGTGCACGTTAGTGTTGGTAGTGGTGCACGTTAGTGTTGGTAGTGGTACACGTTAGTGTTGGTAGTGGTGCACGTTAGTGTTGGTAGTGGTGCACGTTAGTGTTGGTAGTGGTACATATATGAAGTAGTCGAGGACGATCAGGGACAAGAATTAACATAATTAGATCTGTCGAATATCTTTGTTACAGTTTTGAGCCCCCCCCCCCCTTCCCGCGGGCTATCGTGTTTCCACATCTACAAGTCTCAGTTACTAATGGCGGAAACACGAGATGGAAAGAGGGGGTGGGGGGTGGGGGGGCAGGCTGGTGTCACTGAGATCCACACAGCCTTAATCCTAGGGCCATTACAGTTCCCTCCCCTCTTTTTTTTTACCATTGGTTTTTATAGTCACTTCAGTAAAACAAATACAAATAAACTAATAACAGTTTAAACCTCTTACACCCATGTCGCCATATCTTATCTTAAAAACGATGACGTTACTGGACCCATTACTTGATCCATTACTTGATCCATTACTTGATCCATTACTTGATCCATGACTTGATTCATTACTTGATCCATTACTTGATCCATTACTGAATCCATTTGTAAACTCAATGCTAAAACGGCAAGTAAGTTTTTTGGCTATATAGTTGAAATACGATTCTTGTGTGAAACTAAATAGATGTCTTTTTTTATATATATACATAAGTTGTGAAAACATTTAATACAGCTGTCGTTCTTTTCCAGTAAGCAAACCCTGCCTATAAGGAAGGTTGGATTGATTGAGCTTTGTGTGAAATGATCTAATTCAGTTGATTGAGCTTTGTGTGAAATGATCTAATTCAGTTGATTGAGCTTTGTGTGAAATGATCTAATTCAGTTGATTGAGCTTTGTGTGAAATGATCTAATTCAGTTGATTGAGCTTTGTGTGAAATGATCTAATTCAGTTGATTGATCTTTGTGTGAAATGATCTAATTCAGTTGATTGATCTTTGTGTGAAATGATCTAATTCAGTTGATTGAGCTTTGTGTGAAATGATCTAATTCAGTTGAGTTTAATTATGACTCTTATCACTTTTATCTGTAAAAGAAAACTGGACATTATCTTATAAGATTTTTTTTTTTTTAAACTTTAACGGTTGAGGAGAATTTCGCAGTCAGGTAGTTAAATAGGGTGTGTATGGGGGAGGGGGGGTGTCACAGAACGGTTGCTACGGAGGCGGGCTCCGGTCCTGACTTATCACAAACTGTAGTAGTGGTCAGTGCAGGACCGCTCGTCTCTGTGATTTATATGTCGAGTATCTAGGTGTAAGGACAGGCAAAGCACAACGTAGCCTTGAATGAACACTTAGCAACTCAAACTCCAGGGGTCCAGGTGATGAAAATGCGTTTATTTGTAAGATGTCAGTTCTTCTGTTGGTGCCGCTAACTGCACATGTCAACTGTCTATCTCTTATTCTCTACAGCTATGACTTTCTAAACTGTTTCGCATCAACTATTCCTATGTTCCAATAGTCAACTCGTCTCCTG